AAAACAAATTTTTTTTTTAAAATAAAAAAAAAAAAGAAGTTTTTTTCCTTGAAAAAAAAAAAAAAAAAAAAAAAAAAAAAGTGCTATTTTTGAACTCAATAGTTTGGAAAACTATACCATAAAATCCCAATAAAATATTCAAAAGTTTGTGGTTGTATTCTCACAAATTTAAAAACGTTTAAGTCATATGAACAATTTTTGAAGTAATCTGTAAGAAGCAGAAACTAAAATTATAAATGACTGCAGCAAGTGTTCAACATGAACCTATCAAAGTCCAGGCTACTAAGAGCAGACGGACGCCAACAAACCAGTCTGTGGAGGAGAGAAACACCAACCAACCCGCAATTTTAGCCTTACAAAACAGGCTGTGGGGCTCTCAGGAGGCAGGACTGACGAGAGTAGAAGGACAATGGTCTGAAAAGAAGATGTGTCAAAGGAGATCGGTGCAACTCTATCTGCTCCATCTCAGATGTTCAACAGACCGAGAGTGAGGAGGCGGAGATATGAATGTGTCGGCTGTCTTATCAGACAGCGACAGAAACCGAGGCTCAGCATTATGATCAGGGCCACTTAACCTCTTTCTATGTGCAGTGTCCTAACCTCAGGCTTAGCATCAATAAGTAAACGACTGCTCTTCTTTTCTTTCTCTGTGCATGGTCAGTAATTATACCCAACAATTGGTGGTGGGGTGGAGGAAAAACTGACATTAGATCCCATGGAAACTGTTCTCTGTAGGAGTGCAAGGCAACGCTTAACGTCATTTCACTTTCACCGAAGCCTCAACTTACGCCGGCGGTGACAAAATCACTTCAACACGACTTTCTGCTCTTCCTCACTTACCTGACTGTTTAGAATCAAACTCTCAAGCGAGGGAACAGAACCGAACTGAGAGGAAATCTTTTGCAATCCTAATTGGCCAAACGCAGAACAGAAAAGCAATAAAATAACACTGGATTTTTAAAATAAATTAGGTTAAAAAGAATTTGTTTCGTATTTCAGCTTAACTGTCCATGAAATATGATCAGGTTTAAAAAGAAAAAAAAAAAGTGAAAAATAACCTCACTGTGGCTAATGTGGTGTTTAAATTGGCTACTAATGTAACAAAGTCAACATATGGGGGCCAAAACATGTAAATAATACCTGTCAGAAAGCTTAAAACAGCTAAAGATGTATCAGACAAGGTCAACATAAAAACCAGCATATCAGAGAATAATAAGAAGGTTAGTTAAAACTCTAACGCTCCCTGTTAAAAAGACAACTACAGCAGAAAGAGCTCTCCCTTAAAAATCATTAACACTTATGGATAATAAGACAGTATTAGAACAGGATGTCACATTATTATTGGTAGCATTATTTGGCATAAAGAACAGATTTAATTTGAAAGGATGTGTCTTATTAAATATTACTGAAGTTAATATAAATATTAAATTGACTGAGTTGTGTCAAGATGAGTTGCAGGATGAACAGGAATCCTGCCACTGCAACACACAGATATTAGATAAAGACAGAGGTGAAATGAATCAACACTCATACTTATTTTAACATTAACAAATTTTTATTCAAATCTCATACATAAAACTTAAGTTTTTTTTTTGTTTGTTTGTTTGTTTGTTTTAAATTCAGCTAAACAAATATTAATATACTGTATACTTTATAAAAGGAGACATTTCAAACATTTTTTTTTAAATAGTAATACTTCTTATTTACAATTTAAAACATGAAATAATAACTGTAACAATGCCATTTCAATTATAAAAAATGTTACAAAACATCTTTTTTTTTGTTGTCGTTTGATTTTCTTGTTTCCGTTTGAAAATTGGCACGGCGATATCCGCTTAGAACGTCTCAAGGATACAAAGTAGCAATGTGGAGCTGCTCTACATTCAGAAAGTAGCTGGAGGCCTATTGCGTAATACCTCGGATTCTTAGGACCTGCGTTCAAATCCGCTTTTATTTTTCACATTAGTCTTCTTTAGATAGTTTGAAATACATTGGGATTCCGTAGGTAAACAAAAATGTAAAAAAAAAAAAAAAAATCGTGCACCAAAAAGCCACCTCCATCTCAGTACGGTCACCGTGTTCTAAAGGGCAGAGGGGCATTGGGAGAGAAGGCGCATGTGTGTGTGTGTGTGTGTGTGTGTGTGAACAAATACATTGTACGTCTGTCAGTTTATATTAAATCAGCCTGGCAGGGCAGGACAATCTGTACCAAACCAACACAAACAGTAGCTAACAGTCCAGGAGCCTGGCCTCTCTTTTGTAGACAGTCTAAACTCAACAATGACTACCACAATCACGGTCTACACACTTCTTCTTCTCTTTTCTTGTCTTTTCTCTAAACAAAAAAAAAACAAAACAAAAAAAATCTGCCACTAATCTGCCGCTCCAAGCAGCAGCAAAAACAAGATCACAATCAAAAACAATCAAATGAGCAACGCTGAGGCTCAAACTGGCACAAGGGATTTCCGACTGTTCAGTAGGTGCTGTGTCGCTCCGTGCCTGGTTGTCTTGTGTGAGGAATCTAGACAAGGGCAAGAAAAGAAAGCTGGAGTTGGCACAGGAAAAATCTGCGTTTTGACGCTTTAGCGCTTTGACTGATTCCACGGGTAGTTCAGTAAGCATGAAGCGAGGCGGCTTATGAGCGGTGACATGGCATAGCGGTTTTTAGGAGGAGTGGACAGAGAGGAGGAGGCACTGAAGACAATTTGTCAAGCTACAAAAGTTGGGAGGAGAAAAAAAAGGCAGATAAAGCTGCAGTTTAAACAAAAAAAAAAAAAAAGTCGATGGAGTCCATGAAAATGCAGAATGTTTGATAAAAAATAAATAAAAATAATGCAAATTAAAAGATGCAGTGCAAATGCAATCCAAATAAAGAAGCGAAACCTATTCAGAAGAGGCACAAGATGGTAACAGAGTCAGTGGAGCTACGTCTCATTGTGATGTGAGACCTGTTCGTTCATGATGCCCGACAACTCAGTGAGCATGTCCCGGTAGTGAGCCCTCATCTCCTCCTGGTACTCCAGCTGGTCCTCCTTGATGAGGCGCTCGTTCACGTCCAAAGCCTGACCGCAGGCTTCTGCGAACTGCCTGCAGAGGACAAATTAAGGAGTAGCTCACTTGTGGGCATGTCAGTAAATGATCGTTTTAAACTGAGCATGGATGGTAGCATGTTATTTAGTTGTAAAACTATCTAATTTTAGCATTTTATCCCTGTTGTGACTACAGTTTGGATAATGAAAAATAGACATGCTAATACTAGAATGTTTGTTAAAGTTAGTGTTTCATAATAGGTTGTGATTTTGTGCTTGTTATGATTAGTAATTCCAGATCCCAAATAGTCGATTAAGACCAAGGCTTTAGTTTTCAAAATTCTAAACTTTTCTAGAGTCAGGTTCTGTCTACATTAACACCAAATACTTTACTTTAGCATTGCTATTGATAGCAACATGCTAATGCTAGTATGACAGCTGATCCTAGTATTTTCTTTCCATTCTTTTTTCTTTTTTAGATTTTCTTTACCCTTTGTTGACAATCACCGGACAGGAAATGGGCAGAAATGCAACAAAGTTATCAGGATCGATAATCGGCTTCCCAGGTCGGCTGCATTCAGGGCCTTGGCGTATGCAGCACTCTACCTCTATGCTACACAGAGTTCCTGTTGCTAGCATGATTTGCTTATAACAAACTTTGGTTTCAGATTTTTTATTATCTATAAAAGGACATTTCCCAAAAGAGTTAACCATTTCCATGAAAAATGTGCTCTGCTAGACTCCTGTTTTCACTATAGGGGAAGTAGAGAACAGGAAAATCCTACCTGAAAATCTCTTTTAGGAGTTTGACCTGGTTGTCGGGATATTTCTTTGCATTCTTCTCCTCCAAAAATGCTCTGGCATAAGCCATAGGTCCTGCATTCACCTAGGAAGGACCAATCAGCAGCTATAAAACCAAATAGTGGCGTATTTGTATCTTTTTTTTTTCTTCTCTGGAGCAGCGCTTACTTTGACGCTAACGCTGCCTTGAAGTTTTAGCTGGAGCCTGATCATGTCCACCTCTTCCATGTTGCAGAGCTGGTTGAGCTCGGAAACTTTACGCGACATCTCGTCGATGGCAACTTCGATTGGGTTCATCTCCGTGCTTTGCTGCTCCACCACCTGGATGCGCTTCTTTAGGTAGGGGAAGCTGGAACTTGCTGCAAAAATGTAAAAGTGTCACACCAAACATTAGCCAAATTCACCAAAAGACTCAAGTATTTTGTGTAACTTCTCATTTGCAAAACTAGAAAAGACGTTTGGGGAGAAAAAAAAAAATAAACAAATGAAACAAGATGTAATAGAAGAAAAAAAAAGGATCTTAGGTTTAACAAACTTAGAAGTTTTACTAAGACATCAGGCATAGTAGCTTTTCATTCAATGCACACTATTGGAATTGCTGAAGATTGCTGAGCATAAAGCAGCCATCAAGCATAAAAACAGAAAATAGGCAAACGGAAACAGATACTAACTGGTCAGTATGGTGCGTCTCTTGCATTGCTCCTCCACATCTCCGTGCTTCTTCCCCGACAGGGTGAAGGGAGTCTCGAACACAAAGCGGTTGATGTTGTGGTGTCTCTCAAAGTCTGTTCTTTTGTCTTGTTGCTCTTTCTCATCAAAGTAGGGCACTACATATGTCACCTGAATGTAGGCGTACTTGGATTCCAGGTCTTTGGGATTTACCTGTATTGAATGAAAGTTAGGCACAAATTGTGAAACTATGGGGGGGGGGGGGAAAAAAAAAAAAAAATTGTTCTCAATTTTTGGTAAAATTTTTTAAATATAAAAATAAGAA